TAAAAACCACGGGCAACGGTAGAAGAATTTCACTATGAGAAAATTTGAATTACAACTTTTGTCGATCTACCAAGGAGAAAACAGTGATAATTCTCTCTTGATAAAAATAAGAAAATAACTCTCAAGAAACTCTCTAAATTCTCTAGTATTGGAAGAAAGCTAGAATGTTTTGGGATGGTTTTGAAGCTAAATGAGCTAGGGTATCTATAGTTGAAGCTTAAGGACTAATTTGTAAATACCCTAAATTACAATGACCAAATGTGTTTATCTCATTGCCCAAAATTCAACTAAAATTGGTTGTTGTTTGAACCACTTACATCGAAATTAAGTGCTGCCAAAATCCCACCGAAAAGTGGTTGGCCACTTGTTTAATTTTCAACATTTTGTCCACCAACCAACTCCTAAAACCATGTCACTCCCCCTATTTGTAAAATGCTGAAACCATGTTCGAACAAATGACCTTGCATGCACCACTTCTAATTGTTAACTCATATTGTGCTTTGCAATCTCTTCCCATTAGCCACTGTAATCACCAAAGGGGTAGTTTGAACCACCTCGGCCCCATATTTTTCCCAATAAGGTAACATCTGGAGAATCCTCTGAATGTAACATATGGTCTCTGTCAAACTAGCCTCCAAAGAAGAAAAACGTTCTTCTTATTTAACTTGTTGAGCTTTCCATCAGCTTGGAATAGTCTCTTCAGTAGGTTCAACCCTCGGTTCTTGTGAGTCGCTTGATCTGGTTTCAACCATCTTTAGTGTTTTCTTTGGTTTATCCAGCTTAGAAAGAAAAAATTGTAATTTTGGGATCAATCAATCGAGCTCTAATTACCAATTGTTATGCTTATGATAGACAGGGGATTTAGAATAGAAGAAATGGTGAAAGGAATTCAGAAAATTTGCATTGATTTTTCATAGATAGTACATTCTTAGATTTCTGGCATTTTTCCTGAAAATCATCTTTTTAATTTAATATTCCCGATCAGGCACCAGTCAGCCTATATTTCCGGATCTAACACCCTTTGCAGTAAGGCGCGCCCCCTGCAGCGCACTATAAGCTGATTTGGTGCCACGTGGGGTAAGGCGTACCCCCTGCGGCATGCCTTATGCTGACATGGATACACGTGTGTTTGGCGCGGGGCAGGGGTTGCGCTATTCAATTATCTCAATTATCAAACATGCATAATGCAAGGCGCGGTGCAAGGACCGCGCCTTGCATTATTTTCCTAAACTTCTCAGCTTTAAGGAATCCTCTCTCGGCTATAGATAGTCGTCTCCCGTAAACTCTCTCACCAACAATCCTTTGAATCAGTAAATAACATCTGACAATCATCTTATATTTGATTCAGAAGTTTGCTAGATCTTTCGTTATAAGGTAATTTTGTTATAATATTTATTTTATAGTTATATATGATTATTTGAAAAAAAATATTATATTAATTGTTTTCAATTAATTTCTGTGTTTGTAGAATCAGAAAGTGGGAGCATACGTCGAAATATTTTTGCGGTGCAGGTAATAATATAAAATTATATTATTTAAATTATTTACGTTTATGTGTAAAAAATTTATTCTGTTATATTTTTGGTCATATATTATTTATTTAATCGAGTTTGTTTCAGTTGTTTTTTTTCATATATAATATTGTTGCACTTTTAAACTTTAAGAATAACGCGACTTTCAACTATTGTTTATTATGATGGAGAAATTTGAGAAGATGAAACCGGTGTTATTTTCGTATCAAATGAGCGTGTTAAAATATCATTCAAGAGAAACATAACTCTTGAGGAGCTGATAACGAAGATTTCGATGAAGGTTCATGTTGGAAGTAGTAGAAGAATGTCATCGTTGCAGTACAGATTTCCAACATCATTATTGCCATTAATTTATACAGCGTTCGAACTATCGAACAATGATGATGTTGAAATGATGGTTGCTTCTCAAAGTAATTATTCATATGGCGATATTGAGATGTATGCAAAGTTTGTTTAAGTGCGTGTTGTTCGGGGTCAGCCATTAAGCTCACACTATGGGCTGGCTGAACAAGTTGATCAAGTTGACAGCCCGACTACAGTAATGTGTAATGATTTTAATGCCATAATGGAAAATCCATATCATGGTGCCGACACATCAACTTCAATGGGGAGAAATTCATCCGCAACTCCTTACGATATGTACCGAGGTGGGTCCACGAACAATCCGTAGGGCAACATCGCGTCCAGTTCGAGAGGAAGGCATTCATCTACAAATTTCTTTGACTTTAATATGGAGATACCATCGACGCAGCAATCTGTGTAGTTTCTATTTGACGCGGTGACTTCAAGCTCTAGGGGGAGGCATTCGACTGTGAGCTTTTTTGATCTCAATCTAAATATGCCTTATAGTTTAAGGGGAAGGTGTGCCAGTAGTAGGTTCTTCGACCTAAATGTGGAGAGCATAGAGGAACCATCATCTCCACCAGAAAAACCGCTTCATTCACCCAGAATCACCGCAATTCAACTCTGATGGTGATGATGATGTAGATGAAGTTCCAGCAAATGCGGCACAAACTTACCCTCCAGCACACATGTATGAAGCTAATTATGATGCAATGTACGGGCCAGAATTTACGGATATGTCTCATCTCAGTGACTATGGATATTACTCATCAATAAATAATGGTGAGTTATCTTTAGGAATGGAGTTTTCAAGCAAGGAAGAAGCGATGATGGCTATCAAAAATTACAATATCCTTAATTCTGTTCAGTCTAGAGTCGACCGCTCCACGACCGAAAATATGTATGCTATTGTGCCTGACGTAAAAACTGATGCAATTGGATGGTTCGCGTATTAAAGAGGAAGAGGAAAAACAACAGATGGGAACTAACAGTATACAATAGTCCTCACACATGTTGTGCTGGAGGGGTCAACCAAGGTCATCCCAACTTGGACTCTGAAGTGATATGCCAAGCCATCATGCCCATGGTAAAAGCAAGCTCTCATTTAGCTGTTGTAGTGTTGATTTCAGCTATACAATCGCAGTATGGGTACAATGTCTCATATAAAAAAGCTTGGTTGGCAAAACAAAATGCCATTGTCAAACTTCATGGCGAATGGGATGCATCTTACAACGAACTTCCAGGTAGGTTTAGGCTGGTGCAGACGTTGAATCCTGGGACAATTGTGGACTTCAAAACCTCTTATGCATACCATAATAATCGAGTTTTACACGATCGATGCCAATTCTACCGGGTTTTTTGGACTTACCCACAGTGCGTTAATGCTGTCAAATACTGCAAGCCTGTGGTCCAGATCGACGGGACTTTCTTGTATGGAAAATACAAGCAAGTTTTATTATTGGCAGTTGTCCAAGATGAAAATCACAACATTCTTCCAGTTGCTTTTGCTCTTATCGAAGGAGAATATACAGATTCTTGGGCTTTTTTCCTCCGAAACTTACGTGCACATGTTATCACAAGGGAGAAAATCTGTGTCATTTACCTGTAGTGGCTTTGGTAAAAACTACATATTTTTGTTTGGGGGCACTATTTATGAAGCTCGGGGGACAAGCTGAAACCTGGATACAAGGCGGTCATGTCTATCACCCTAGATTAGTTGCAGATATACAGAAAAAAATTGTTGCATCAAATGGAATATCTGTAACAAGCTTCTTTAGAAGGTAAGAAATGTTTCGTGTCACAAAGTTGCCGCAACCTCTTCAAGGGATTGAAGTTGTGTCGTTAAGAGTAAATCTAAGGGACAGAACGTGCGACAGCGGGTTTTTTCAAGCTCTGAAGTATCCATGCTCTCATATGATAACAGCTTGCTCGCATACATGTCAAGACTATAATTGTTTTATGGATCCCGCATACTTACTATCTGAAGTTTTTAAGGTATATGAATTTGAGTTTCCCCCTATAGGTAATGACAAAGACCCTGATGAGGTTCAAGATTGGCTTTCGATTATACCAAATCTGAGTTTATTGAGGGAGCATGGTTGCCCAAAATCCAATTGAATTCATTGCGATATGGATATTCGAGAAAGATCTAGACAAGATAGAAGATGTGGGCATTGTAGAAACCTAGGACACACTAGAAAAACATGTCCACTTCTGTTGTCATCAAGTAACAATTGATGAGGAAATGATGTAGTTGTTTATCAAATAATAATTCGTGTACTTTACTTTGCATTTACTTCAAGTTAATGTTATTCGATAACCGCTGATGAAGATTAAAAAACGATACAATTATACGAGATTAGACGTTGGCGTTATATTAACGAATAATTGATATTAATGATACAATAAGTATTAAATGATAACCAAATTACAATAACTTGTATTAAATGATAAATTAACAAAGTAAGTATTAAATGATAAATAATAAAAAATTACAATAAAAAAGTCCAATAAATAACTACAATAAAAAAGTACTAAATACAAGTATAAAAAAACAAAATATATCGATGCCTGTGACGCGAATGTGTTCCACAGAGCGGTGGCTGTCGATCTCGAGGAGGATTTCTTCATATCACTGGTTGTGACTCCTCGCTGTCATCACCATCATCGTCGTCATCGTCATCGTCCTGAGCAGTTACATTTTGTTGTGAGGATCTGATGACGATGAAGCACCTCCATAGAATAAAGACCCTCGAGGTGTATGACTGACTATCCGACCGGCCTGCGAAAACTGGGAAAACCCATAAAACCCAGACATCGTTGAGTGTGAAAACTGTACAGGAGGTGTTTGTGTTGCGGCCATGGGTGATGAGGTTGAACCCGCCAAAATGTGAGCATATGAACCCCAAGTCGGATATGCAAACATAGACCCATAATAGCCTCCAGGAGGGGTCATATAACTCTGTGACGGCGGCGGCGGCGGGGTCATAAAACTAGGTGATGGCGGCGGTGGCGGCATCTGGTAATGGAAAGGCGGTGGCAGCATCATATATGGTTATGGTATGTAAGTGGTGGATACGATGGCTGCTGTGAAGGTCCTGCTGGTGCAGCTGAGGATGAACCGGAAGCACCTGCTCTCCGTTGACGAGTCAAGGGACGATGGTGCTGTGTCGGTGAACGTCTCTGTCGATGTCGCGGAAAGGACTGCCCTCATGAATCCTCGGGAAGTATAAATAGTTTCCCGTTACTATTAAACCACTCGTAATAACCATCAGCAACCATTAAGAGGTCAAGTAAAATGGGCTCTCTACGGGGAAGACGCCGATATCGATCCTCCCACAACACGACCCACGTATGATGCCTCGCCAGCCAATCTGTATCTGTCTTACCACGTCTATCTGTGCTATGCAACTCGTCCATATTGCGAGGTGCTTCCGGAATTGGTTGAAAACAACCAAATTACTGGAGCACGCGATCAGTGGAGTGCCACTAGACGGTCGCATAACATATCAAAGGGACTATCGCCATCCAAACATCTGATGGGCCCCTCAACTCAGGTGGGATCACTGCCCTCACATCATCAGTAGAATATGACACCCGTTCAAACTAAAACAAATATATATAATTTTTATCAAAATAATAATCTAATTATATAACTATAATCTAAAATCTATTTTTAAACATTAAAATTCATACTTGTGTGCCAGCCTTCTGATCGATTAACACTCTATTTTTTTCTAAATCATCAGGTACCTCCTGATGATTTTTCCTATCAGTAAACCACCTATTCAAGAAAAATAATTTCTTATTCACTGTATAAAATTATTAATATACAAAATCAGTTTTATAATTACCTTAGGAGTAGCGGAAATACGAATGGGTTCTTGACAACGGGACATAAAAAGGGAAATCGATACCATGCCCAATACTGCATCAGCAGGAGACATCCGCCGATAGCATTACGCCTGTAGTCAATGGCTTGACACATCTCCCTGTCTACGGATACTACCTCATGCTTCAAGAAAAGCTTAAGCACACCTCTGTTTTAAAACAGAATCTGATATAGAAGTACCTGACAATTCAGATAATAGAAGATCCGATTTCTTCAAATTAAATTTCTTCAGCGCTTGATCTCTTCTTCTTTTTTCAGCTTTTGAAAGGACTTTACCTTAAATGTCCAGCATAGAACCAAATTTCTTCAACTTCAATTTTTGGTAAAAGACCGATATGACAATACCAACGTCTCCTCAGAATCACGCCCAACAGAGACTTAGATAAAGTCCCCTCATCCGCTTTTAGGATGACATTAACTCTACATTCGGGCTATCGACAAAACCCATGTTAAACGACCTAACCAAAGGCGAACAAGGGCCGTCAAAAACATTTTCCTCGTGCCCATTTTCCAATGCCCCAAACAAACCCTTATGCGGAATGTTAAGAACTTCCACTGCAGGAAAAACATTCACCTCATGCGTAACATCCAATGCCGCAAATTGATCCGCATACAAAATATTAGAATCCTCCACAAGGTTTGAATTTTGACCAGCTCCTGCATGCGTCACCTTTCTAGAGCACTCATCATTATGGGACAAAGTCATTTCTAAATTAAAAACATCAATTCCAGCTCTAGACTCCACTAAAGGGTCCACTTTCATCGATAAAATTGCCTCCACCTCATGAGCAAAACCAGCTGCCCCACGACAAACTGCCTCATGCGCAGTATTAAAATCCTCCACTGCATCGAATACATTCACCTCGTGCCCAACATTCAAAGTCGTAACTGAACCCTCATTCAAATTAATAAAATCATCCACTACGAATGAAAAGTCGCTCCTCTGATAAGAATCTGATAGTGCCACCTTGTTCGAGTATTCAACATTATGGGACAACGCTTTTTTAACCCTTTTTTAGAAGTATTTGTTATATTTAGGGTTCATGATGAAAAATATATAAACGAGGACAAAACTGTGTTTGCATGTTGGTTATATGGGTAATTCTTTATTGGGCTAAAGGTCGTGTGATTGTGATTGCGATGTAAGTTTAATGTTGTCTGAAGAATGGAGAGTAAGGCGAGAGGTTCTGTTGGGAAAGAATGTGTTACGATTATCATCTTCAACATCCTAGAATTCCTTCATCATCACAGCCTTAGGCTTTTTTTGATAAATATGGTGAGGTGGTTGATTCCTTCATCCATAATAAAAGAAGTAAGGGTGGAAGCAGGTTTGGTTTTGTTCTCTTTATCAGATTGGAGGATGATCGGAATGCTATCCTTTGTGTTGATAGATCTATGATTCAAGGCAACAAATTTAGAGTTTTTATGGCAAGATATCATCCTCGCGAAGCTTTCTGGAGGAAAAAATGTTCTGTTACAAATCCAGTTGTGGCCAAGAGTAGAGTGGAGGTTGCTAAAGTGGCTCCCATTGTTGGAGTTATTGATGAGGATAAGTTTTGTACTCTGAAAGATAGTTTGGTAGGATGGTGCAGGAATTTTTTTAAATTGAAGGAGTTGGCTGATAAAATGCATAAAGCAGACATTTTGTGTTCGAGAATTATGAGATTAAGTGGATTAGCTATTCTAATCATTTTTGAAGATGAAGATAGTATGAATTTTACGCTCAACAATCAGATCGAGGTGTTGCAAACCTGTTTTGTCAAAGTGAAAGTGCGGTCGGAAAATTTGAGGTGCTGCAGTAGACGGGCATGGTTATCGTGTAAAGGGATCCCACCGATTGTGTGGAGTCCTTAAACTTTCAGAAACATTGCTAGAAAATGGGGTGAGCTCATTTCCATATAGGAAGAAACTTTAAATCATGGCTCGTTTGATAGGCCTTTGTTTCAGGTCATTACGAATCGTCAAGTTCGAGTGGAGGAATCTGTTGATTTGTAAGTCGGAAATAGGATTTTTACAGTCTTTATTTCAGAGTTTGAACCCTCTTTCAACCCAGATTCCATCTGGGAAGATTTAATGTTGTTGGAAGAGGCAGTAGCTTACCCTGTTACTATGATAGGTGAGCTTGAGGATGCCTCGCCAGATAAATCTCCTGAGTTGGAGATATGTGCAGGAGTAAGTTCCCTTGTTAATCTTGACTCCACGCATTTTGAAGATGTTCATCAAGAGATCATAGAGCTCAAGGATAGTGTGTGTGCTGGTGTTGGTCTGTGGCTTTCAGTAGCTGAGATAGCAATGGTAGAGTCTCGTTTCACAGAGGTAGGGGCTGAGGACTCAGATCACCAGACAGCTCGTCATGGGGCAGTTGCGTACGTTACAATGTGCCAAGGAGTGTCATCTCTAATGCGGTGGAGGTTATTTTTTTGAAGAATATGGTTTCTTTAGTGGAGTCTAGAGCTGGAATAGAGGGTTTTAATTTAGAAATGACGGTGTCCCATAATGTTGAATACTCGAACAAGGTGGCGCTGTCAGATTCTTGTCAGAGGAGCGGCTTTTCATTTGTAGTGGATGATTTTATTAATTTAAATGAGGGTTCAGTTGCGACTTTGAATGTTGGGCACGAGGTGAATGTCTTCGATGCAGTGGAGGATTTTAATATTGTGCATGAGGCAGTTTGTCGTGGGGCAGCTGGTTTTGCTCATGAGGTGGAGGTAATTTTATCGATGAAAGTGGACCCTTTAGTGGAGTCTAGAGCTAGAATTGATGTTTTTAATTTAGAAACGGCTTTGTCCCATAATGATGAGTGCTCTAGCAAGGTGACGCATGCAGGAGCTGGTCAAAATTCAAACCTTGTGGAGGATTCTAATATTTTGTATGCGGATCCATTTACGGCATTGGATGTTACGCATGAGGTGAATGTTTTTGCTGCAGTGGAGGTTCTTAACATTCCGCATAAGGGTTTGTTTGGGGCATTGGAAGATGGGCATGAGGAAAATGTTTTTGACAGCCCTTGTTCGCCTTTGGTTAGGTCGTTTAACATGGGTTTTGTCGATAGCCTGAATATAGAGTTAATGTCATCCCGAAAAGCAGATGAGGGGACTTTATCTAAGTCTTCTGTTGGGTGTGATTCTGAGGAGACGTTGGTATTGTCGTATCGGTCTTTTACCAAAAATTTGAAGTTGAAGAAATTTGGTTCTATACTGGACATTCAAGGTAAAGTCCTTTCAAAAGCTGAAAAAAGAAGAAGAGGTCAAGCGCTGAAGAAATTTAATTTGAAGAAATCGGATCTTCTATTATCTAAATTGTCAGGTACTTCTATTTCAGATTCTGTTTTAAAACAGATGTGTGCTGAAGCTTTTCTTGAAGTGCAGGAGGTAGTATCCGTAGACAGGCAACTTGGATTTTTGGTTGGTAGTCCTGATTATGTGGTTCTATAGAAGCTTCTGATTGGACCTTGGTGTTGTATTTTTGGCTCAGAGGTGTTTTGGTGGTTTTATCTTTTAGAAGGGTAGGGTGTTTTTCTTGTGGACTTATGTGATTGTTGTTTTGTGGTCAGTTTTGTTTTGCTTGTGGTCATGAGGCTTCTGGGGTGAGCTGGCTGTTTTTTATATTTGAATTCTGGAATTGGAGCCTTGGTCGTTCTTGTTGTGGCCAGTGTAGCCCTCTTGTTGTCCATGAGTGCATGTGGATTGTTGTTTGCTACTTGTTGTTTTGTGTCCGCCAAGGCTGGTTTCTGTCTTCGTTTTGTAGCTGTTTTCTTAACAACTGGCTAGACGTATATTTGAGGTCTCCTGGTTCTCAGGCCGTGTTGTTTCTCAGGAGCTAGTTTTTGGCTTCATTTTCTTTCCGCCTCATGGTTTACTCTTTTTCCTCCAAATAGGTTAAGAGAGGTTTTTCAATAAGGTCCATGGGGTGGTGTACCTTGTATCCTAATCAATACAAAGTACACATCTTTCAAAAAAAAAGTTTAATGTTATCTCGACAATGGTGGCATATTTTATTTTATGGTGGTCATGTTTGGGGATTGAAACATTACAAGTAGTGTGGTGCGTCATGCGCGTGCGTCATTTGATGGTTAGTATTGTCCTTCAGTTTCCATTTGAAAAGGAAAGTATCAATCTTCATCAAGCCCAACCTTCTTCCTATGTTAAACCATTGTTTTAGTAACAAACTGGGGAAGCATAAAGCACGAGAGAATCATTACTTTACATCCATTTTTAATTGATACAATCCCATTGGAGGAATGAGAATACCTGCATTCAAATACGTATGAGACAACGATAATTGGATTGGGTGTAACCATGCTAACGTGTCTTTTTTTTTTTTGATCCAGTTGCTGCTAATGTATCTTGTTCAGTTTATCCAACCAAGTTGTTTATATGTATTGAAAGAGTGTACATGTATTTTAGAGAGAAGTGATATGAGAAACAGATAGATACTTTGATAAAAAAAATGACAAACCAAAACGTTACAGATACAAGGGCGGTGGAAAAGAGGAGCTTAGGTTGATAATGGAGGATCAACAGATTTATATCAATGCATAGAATGATAGAAACTCCATTTTTTTTTTTTTGAGATGAGAATGATAGGAACAACTTGGACGTAATGTGCGGGGGTATTCATGGAAAGGGGTTGAAGCCGCTTCGTACCATTTGATATAGCAGGCAGAACAAAGGTTGGGGCAGCTTATCCTTACACCACTCATACCAGTCCCACACATCACACTTGTTTGGCTCCAAGTTTAGTGGAACTTGATCGGGATCCGCTAACATTGTACGCAGAAAAATGGTGACGTAATGGGCAGGTTTGGGTTCGTCCAGGAACATGTTATTGGTCACTGGTATGTACTCTACTTTCCCCATTTCTAGACCCGTCTCCTCCTTCACCTCTCTGGCTCCTCACTCTTCGAAGCTCTCCCCTGCACCACTTAATTAGCTAATTAATGCAAGAGAAACAAAAGTAATTGATTTAACTAGTAAAGTTGAGAGAGAGAGAGAGAGAGAAAGACCAAACTCCAGGTGGCCGCCAGGGAGAGCGAAGGTAGAAGTACCGATTGAGGAGTGCCGCCGCCCCAACAGGACCGATTTCCCTTCAGCACGAAAACTACCACCCCTACTCGAGGCACCGGCTTTGCTTCCCTTCCATCTCCATCTCCATCTCCATCTCCATCTCCAATGCCGATTGTCCGCGACTTCAGAGTCCAGTCTAGCTAGCACATAAAGGGAAGCTTGGGGGCAACGCAATTGGGTATGATAAAATAAAGGTTAGGGTAAGGAAATTGGGCCGATGCTGGGTTGGTCTTAAACTTAATTTGACGTTCCTATATTAATTGAAAAAAAATTAAACGTGTAAAATAAGAAAGAGAATAAAGTTCAATGAGTAAACGTTTAATTTATCTTTTTAATCATGTCCTATGTGGCATGTTTTATTATTAAAATAAGCCACATGAGCTCCTCGTTACTGAGTAAATAATCGAGTGACTAAAAAAGTTCAATGTCTAAAATTCAATAAGCAATTGAAAAAATTGAGAGTACGGTGAGTGAAATAGAAGAAAATAAAGTTCAATGAGTAAGAGTTTAATTTACCCAAACTTTTTTTTAATTTAAACTTCATGTCTGCTACCCAAATCTGTGTAAAGGATTTCAAAGAGGACAACAGAATTGGAGGGGGAATAAAAGATGGATCGTCATCTATAAACATCCATTGTCACATTTTATGCCTTTCATAGCATCTGACAATGACAGATGATGAATTTTGAATGTCTAAAATGGGCTGACATTATGAGCCAATTTCAACATGAATTCGGGTACAAGGCGTCTTCTTGGAGGAGCCACGGCATCTTTTGCAAGGGCTTCTTCATCTCCACCATGTATGATGGCAACAACATCTTCAAACATCTCATCTCTGCCACCTCTCATGGGATCCTGATATTTTTAATTACATACGCACACGTTTTACAAATCAAACAGACACTTTAAAAGCATCGTCACTTCTTCCATTACCTGAAGAAATAAATCCGTGTGTGTCTTTCCATCATACAAAACGGATTCTGCTTTCCCTCCATTTCTTCCAAGTGTATCTGCAAAACTTGTACTGCAAGTAAGAAAAACATGTATAAGAAGAAGAAAAACACCTTGGGACATTTCAATCATCTATGGCCTACCCATGTAACAATTATTACAAACTAAAATTATCTTAAAGGCTATAATATATTAATATGCGGACTAAATACCCTATACGCAAATTAAGTTTACATATCCGCGTCACAACAATAATGGAAATTCAGTGCAAATGTACAATGGAATGCTGAAGAATATACAATGACTGTCAAGGGCCTTATCTATTGTATGCACATATAATTAAAATCGAAAAAGAATGAACCAACATTTAGAATTTTCAACTGACAAAACAGATTTATACCTGGCATCCGCAGGAATAGAAAAATCTGCAGTACCATGAAAAAGAATGATAGGAGGAAGAAGACAAACAGCAGGCTTAACGTCTGGGTCCTGTACCAATACTTCAGGAGAGAATTGATGCAAAGAATCCTCCCCTTCCATTATGCTGTATGAAAATGCAGACACAATTGTTCAACAGAGGAAAACAAACACATAATAGATCCAAACATGCTTTTCCTGGAAATTGAATACCTTAGAAAGATTGAACGATATAAACCTCGACTGTGAAAGTGATCGATAAGGTTAAAAAGATTGTACCTGGCGGGGAATGTTAGAGTAACTGAGCATTAACGAATAAGCACAAAAAGAGAATTGCTTTAGTATATAATAATTTACTAACCTGTTTTGCATATAATAAACATTAAAAACTTATCTCAGATGTTCCTTCCAAACAACTAATTGCACTAAATGAAGGGGAAATGGGAAGGAAAAAAAAACTTGAAGCAATTAACAAGGAACCCAAAGATAGACGTGAGCAACACCGAGTGCCACAAATTCATGCCAAGTGACCCTATTTTTCTGTAAAACATAAGCATCAAACCAAGTTAAGGTTCTTGAGCCAAGGACAGTGGCAAAGCAGAAACTTGGTTTGATGCTTATGTTTACATAAACACAATCAGTGTGCTTTACCTTGATTAAATTTGAAACCAAAAAATCGTTCCATTATTATTATTATTATGAAAGCTATATTCAAAATTAATTTAAAATTTCAGGACCAGATTAATGGTAACAAAAAATGGAAAAAATTAACTGTATTGTTTTAGTGTCCATGTCCACTTCATGCAGGCAATAAAGTTCCGCGATTATAAAATTTTAATACTTACCCTCCAGACAAACCAAAATAAGCTTTTATCTGGGACACACTCCAAGAAGTACTGCCTTCGCTAGCTTCTTTGATTGCCTGGTTTATAAGTGTGCAAGCAGCAATATGTGCACCAGCTGATTGTCCCATAAGATAAATCCTGAAAAGATAACCATGAATATAATATTAAATATAATGATCCAAATTAATAAAATAAAAAAAAGTTAACATTACTGATCATCTACCTGCTGGGATCACCTCCATATTCAGCAATATTATTGCAAACGAATGAGATGCCCTGAGAAGCATCTTCCACCATGGCACTTATTGTGCCCTGTGGAAAATTTCTGCATACAGATTCCAACTATGAGAAATAGGGAACTTGAAGCATAATTTTAAAACAGCGATCAATTGGGTTTTTGAATAACAAGGAACTGATCCTTATAAATATCAAGATTTACACCACGTAAAGTGGTTATGTTGTAACTAACCAAACAATAAGAATTTACACATTATTCCAAAATATTATTTATTGAGCGGTGCAAAATTTTGCACTTGGAACCATTAATCAAAATACAGCTTAGCGACTTTGTAGGGAAAAATATTGAGAATAAATTTAATATATATGAAAAACATGGCTGATCAAGAAAAATTACATTTGAAATTCGAGAATAGAAGAAATATAAAAAAGAGGATGAATGGCGACAGTAAAATTGATAAAACCAAAGGTAACACATTTTAAAGTTCGATGTGAGACCAACAGAAGGCAAGATAATATGTACTAAACATGAGTCTAGCTGATGATAAAAGATGAGAACATGTTAAATTTTGAGATCATCAAATCACGAAGGCTTCTATATGCAATTCTTAAGATGCTTGAATGGCCAGCTAATAACAACAATCAGTTTACAGTAACAAACATATGGTAAGAAGGATGATCAGAAGGAGAAAAAAAATCAAGAATATTGGTCATGTCTTGATCCAGAAAAATAGGGTCATCTCTTCAACAAAAAGTTTTTGCCTTCAAAGTAAATATTTTACCTGTAGTCTATGCATGCCACTATGATGTCTCTTTCTGATAACTGTTGACCTAAAAGAGAGCCCCATGCTTTATAACTGCATTAAAAAAAACAGAGAGATATATGAAACAATTAAAGGATATATTAGCAAGCATAAAGCAAATAAGGAGCCAAAGAGGTATAATGACAGAAAGAGTAGCCATGGGCCCATGACAGTGATCAGAACTTAATTTGGCAACTGTAAGAGAAAACGAGAAGTGATCACTATCTTTATCTTATAGATCATACTTCCCCTTCGGATTATATGGGTTACTTTTCATTCCACAACAAAACTGGGTCTTTTATCTTCCAAGTAACTTAAAGCAGATAAGAGTTTTGAATTAAGTGGCAATGATACTTTAATCGAAGGGAAGGAAGTGTGGTTTTCGTTCATTGAAGACATCTTATCGAAATGATTTTTTGGTGATTTTGAATCATGTTGGTATTTTGTGCAGTTCCCTCCACAGGCGGATGTTTTTGGTTTAATGGTTTCAGGTGTTGTTTTCTTGTATGTTATATCATTAACTGTTGGGATGTTTTCCTTTTGATGGAGGTTTTTTTAGGTATAGGGTGGTTGCCTCTAGATTTTGTGGTCGAGAAGGCGAGAATTTTAGGTGATTATGTTTCTTGTCAGGGCATTTATCCTCGTTTGAGGGTATTTCGTGGTATCGTATGTAATGGGTGTTTTATTCAATGAAATATGAGGTACTATTTTCTTCCTTCCAATGTTCGTTAACATACTTCTTAGTATGTGAACGAATACGAAGGGAGTTTTTAATGAGACCTCCAACTTCTATCAAAAAAAAAAGGAGAGCCATATGCCATTACAATTGAGAATTTCTACTACATGACCATGTACATGACGTCAACACAAAACAAATTGCTTACCCAATAATCCAAGCCCCACCAGTTATAAAAGCTACCACTGGTTTCGTACCATGGCTGCTTTTAGGCAAATAAAGATCAAGCCTGCAAACAAAATTTGACTTATACATGCCCGAAAGTTCCAGTACAATTGCAAGGATATACAAAGTAAATTACTTGGGAGCACAAAAGAAATAGACAGACTACCAACTTTACCTATTTCTAGGATTTTCACCATATATTATGCTCCTACGGACCTGTCTGGAGAAAAAGTAGTAATAAGCAACTGCAAAAGAAAAGTAAGTTCGTTATACTATTTCAGATCCATCAGGTTAAATATAAACTGATGACAGAGAGAAAGTGTCACAAATTAAAATTCTGTTTGGTTGTGTGACTTTAACTCTTTGCCTTTTGCTTCCAAGAAGATTGGTATAAAGAAAATCATAATTGAGCAAAATGACTACAATCTAACATGAGTCTTCTATACAAATCTAAATTAATGCACTTTTATTCAAATAAATCACGTTTTGGTTTAAATTCCTACTAGATGCAAATATCGAGTAGTAAAACCAACAACCAGAAACGAATTCAGTAATAAATAAATATATGGAAAATATTTGTATAACCTTGAATAAAACCTGGCATAAGTAACAATGCATAACAACCAAGAGCAAGAAATTTTGTGATCCATCTATAGCCTACCCTGAAAAACAGTAAAAGATTAGAACGCATCTCATAAAAAGGTTTAACATAAAAGTGATATTAGCATCTCAGCCGACAGTAGTTTTAAAAAAGAAAAAATCTCCAAGTCCTTGTGTGACATAAAAATGATAAAGGCACAATGATCTTGAAGTTCGAAGCCTTGTGTGCGGGCATTGATACTTCTACTCTCCTCTCTTGACCAACACCAAAAGTTGGGTTTGTTAAATAATTGTATCTCATTAAAAAATTCTTTTATATTCTTCTTGCATTCATCAAGAATTTTCTTGAATTACAATGCATGAAACTCTGTTCCTACATCTTCACTACTCTGCCAACTAATTCATTTTCTGATCATGCCGAAAAATTTACCTTCAATTTCAGCTTAACCATCTTACTTCACTTTTGTGCTACCTATAGGACAAAGATTCTTCTAGGTCTCCTTGAGATGTAAGTGCTACATATCTTCTTGAAAACTTTGAACGGGTCTTAATGATACTAGAAGTAAAGCTTACTCAATAATCGTTATCAGATTTTCAAATGTAATAGAATATGATACCTGGATTTGACCATTAGTGTCGAATATGGGCTTTTCTCTGAGAATATTTTTCATTTATTTGGAGTATCGTACTCCATATTCATGTCTGGAATGTGTTTGAACCTATACAAGTTCTTTAAGAAATGAAGAACTGGCGTGTAGGGAGCTTTACATAAATGGTCATCAATCAATATCATAAAATGAGCACCGGCAGGGGTTGAGAGTCTTTGAACAAATATTTACCTTGTATTCACCCATTTATCAAAATAAATAAATAAAAAGATATGCAGCACATTCCAACCCCAGTAATTCGGTAAAGGAAACCTATTCTGCTTTCTAATAAATAGAAAACATAGCAAGGAGCCACTAAAACCAAATATCTGGTCCTTCTTTTCCTGTTTCTATCATTCTACGCTAGTACAAAGATTTTGGCAGCATCCGATCAAAATAAAAGTTGTTATGAAACGCTGAATCTGGATCCCAGGAATAGTACTTAAGCATTTTACAAAGCAGAAAGAATCAGAACACCTCAAACAAAAGCTCATGACACTCAATCTATGAGAAAGATTTAACATATTAAAACAAGAATTTCAAAACCACTAGCAAAACAAATAAACATATAAAGCATCACAATTGGCAGGAAATGAATCATACCGGAGGTAGCCGAGAAGCTTCACACATAATCGAGAAAGGAGAAAGGTCTCGGAAGCATCATGGCCCACTTCCCGGCTTATAGATTGGCGGGGAGACTGATCGGATAACAAAGCGAGGGAACTATCGCTGGGAATTAGGCGAGATCTCTGCTGGTGGTTGTTAGCAAAAGAAACAATAGAGTCGTTGCTTGTTGAATTGTAACTGGAAGCTCTACGTAGGAGAGGAGTAATGGCCTTTTCAGGGTCGAATTGGGAGGAGATGAGGAGGGTTGTCGATGGGACATCATGGATCTTAGCTTTGACCACCGGTGCGGAGGAGGAAGGGTGGTTTGATATGGGCAGGATTGGAGATGGCATAGTTTTGGAAAAGCCAGAGATTAGGTTTTGGTAGTAAATGTTAGTTTATGTAAGGTGGATTGGGAAGCCGTAACTTGTGTTTTGAATTCAACAAGTACCCGGCCTGGGTTGTGGGCGGGGCGGAAGAAAAGTTACGACGGATAAATGAGAAAGGGAGACCGTTTAATGGAAATCAGAGCCAAATGCCCATTGGCTCCATACCACCACTTCCTGTTTGCCACATGGACACCTCTGCTTGGTGGTACAACCTAGAAACTATATCAGGTTTCTTTGTTTCTTTCTTTCCTTTTAATCTCATTTTCGTGGATATTTGGACGATTCATAGTAATAGATGATTTGCTCCTTTCTAACATAATCTATAAAAAAAATTATTTCTTTTACGTAAAAAATACAAAATAGTTAATATAATAGTGATTTTAAGTTCACATGTAAATTTTACCAAAAAATGGTAATTTTCTTGCTACCAGCATTCTTTATAAATAATTATTATAAAGATTAACTTAGTCAAAGATTTTATTATATAGATTAACTTTATTTTTAAGTATAGGTTAATTTGTACTACTATAGAGTGGCCCGAATATTTTAGGAACACCTGAAGTGATTAAGGAGTTTGTAGTGTTTTTCAATATTCCTGAATCTTGGCAAGTGTAGCCATTTTTTCTCGTCAATGTGCCTTGAACAAAATATAGCAACCTTCATGTCGTTACATCTTTTTTTTGATGAACGAACAAGTTTTCGATGAAGACCTCGAATTTACGATTTATTTGGAAAAATTAAAATTTTTTTGTTTATTTTGATTAAATTGATTTGGGAGTCGCTATCGACCTTTGGGCTAAGTAGTTCGAATACCTAAAACGTCATTTAAAACAATTTTAAGAAAAAAATCATTTTTAAGACAAAAAACTTATTTGCACTTGTCAAAGATTCCTTTTAGGTTTGTGAGTCGATTACGCGTGGGAAAATATAAGTATCCCACAGCGCACAAAATTGGTACCTAGTTGCATATACATTGTCGATGAAGTAAAATTAGGAAATCGAATATAAAGTTAGAATATGATCCATTTATCAAACATTGATTAATTTGCTTCGAATTATTATTAGGGAACATTTCTTAATTTGAGAAGAAATCACGAGATTTGCACATCCTCCAATGGAAAAGCTATCTCATCTATTTCTCCCTTATACGAGAAATGTTCCCCTTCTCAACGTTGTCAAAAGGTACAAATCGAATTTAAATTGAATATCGGTAATTTTATAAAATAACTTACTCTTTGAAAAAACATGCATTGCATCATTTGAATAAAAATGGATTAATTATCATTTTTATAAAAATAAACTCGACTTATTTCAAGTTCACTTTGCAATCGAATGTCGTATCGAATCACACTACTTCGATCAAGCAGTGTTTTTTTACATCCATTCTACGATAGAGTTTTCGTGAAAATAGTCGAGCAAGAGACGTTGAAAATGTTGGCAAATAAAAATGAATATTTTGTAAATTTTTCAAAAATACTAGTTCTAAAAAGGATAAAATATGCACATTAATATATAAGGGTCAAAATATATCAAATAAACATATGCAAAAATAGTAAGTCAAAATTAAACGAAAGAAAATTGTTAAACATGGATTAGATCGAATACAAATATAAATGCGCAATCGAACATCAAATAAATAGAATAATCAAATAAAAAATTATCTTAAGACTAAATCAACAGGAAATAAAAAACATGTTCAAATTGAAGAAGATAAATAAATATCTACAACTAACAAAGGACCAAAATATAAGTCAACCAAAAATTGAAGCATGAATCATAAATATTAATAAATACAATAATGAACTAATTAGGGCCAAAATTGAAAGAAATAAAATACTAAACTCAAAATAAGAAACTTGAAAATATACGAGTAAATGTTGTAAAGTACTATTAAATATAAAGACATTTTAAATAAATATATACATATGGTGCATACACATAAAATACATAAGAATATGAGACACACACATATATTAAAATACAAGACCAAAATGCAACAAAAAAAATAGTATCAAATCATAAATAAACAGTGACTAAAATGCATAAATTTAAAGTATCACATTAACTTAATAAATAAATAAAGATAACAGAATTAATTAGTGACTAAGATGAAATAAAAAAAAATAGTGACTAATTGCTAATAAATCATAACCCGAAATGATGATCAAATTAAACATAAAATGCAATAAGATGTCAAAATCATAATAACTAAACAACACAGGCACCTAATGACTAAAATATAAAAACACGGCAAAGTTCAGATGACCTAAATGGTGATTTGACCCTGAAAACTAGTGACCAAAATGGAAATATACGCTTAAATATGGGGGACCTATGGAGAATTAATCCAAAAACCTAAGTACTAACCTAATATATGTCATCTAAACCTAAACTAAAAAAAACCAAACTCCTCTGCTCCCTCACTCACATGCGGTCGCTCACCCAAAGAAGACCAATGGGTCTTCAACGGTCGGCCATCGGCCACCACATTTCGACAGTGGCTCACTCACGCTCTAACTGGTGACCCGGCTCCATCGAGGCCCTATTCGCTAAGGTAAATGTTCTCTTCCCTTCCCTCCTTTTATTTCAAAAAAAGAATCCTAAGAAAGAGAGAAAGTTGCCGAAAAATAGAAGATGAAGAGATACCTTTGAATTTTTTTTATTTGCTTTCCTTGTTGTTACCAAAATGTTCTCTTATTTTCCAAGAGAAGAAAAAAAATTGGGGGAAGGGCGAGAGAAAAATCAGGGACCCTTTTTTACACTGATTTTTTGGGTTTTTATAACCCAATTTTACATATCTCTCAATTAATAAAAAAAAGTTGTTCAATTGTTGTTGCGTGGAGTGTTGGATTTGGTGCTACAGTTGAGCTTGTGGTGGCAGGGGGAGCTCGGGATGGTGTTGCAGCAAGCATATATGTGGGGTAAAAAATTGGTGATTACAGTTGCCTCTCTTTGCTCATTGTTGTGAAACAGGAATAGAGCAAAGACATAAAACACCAATTTTTTTGGACTGTCAACAAGTCTCAAGCTCAAAATTCTTCTTATTATGAACTCTTCACTCCTATTTAAATGCAAATATTGAGGTTGAGCAAGCTCTTCTTTATGAACATCTTCTCACTCCTCAAACAAGTTTTTCTCTATCTTCGATTGGTCCCTCTTTCTTCGAATAGTCATTGTTTGTTGATGACATTCTTTTTGGAGGTAATTTTGATGTTGAAAATGACACTGCTCATTCACGTTGAAGATATTTGGCCGTTTTCAAGTAAATTGTTCGCTGAAGACGACTTTGTTCCTTCTCGTTGAGAAAGTCGGGTCAATCTGGAGATAATTTGGCATTGAAGACGACATTGTTCATCCATGTTGAAGAGTTTTGGCTGCTTTCAGGTGATGTTATTCCTTCTTATTGAGGAAGCCGAGTCAATCTGGAGATAATCTGGTGTTGAAGACGCCACTGCTCATCCACGTCGAAGAGTTCTGGCTGCTTTCAGATTATGTTGTTCCTTCTTGTTGAGAAAGTCGATTGAATCTGGAGATAATCTGGTGTTGAAGACGACACTGCTTATCTATGTTGAAGAGTGTTGAAACATTTTGATATTTCGATATAACAAATTAAGTTAAATGGATTTTAAGATTTTCCAAATGATTTTCTAAGTATATTCGATATAACTATTCGAATATCAAAACATTACTCCAAATATTTCAAAAATCATTTTTAATCCTTACTTAAGTGTAAAATTAAGTTTTAATCATAAAACAATTTCAAAATAATTTTACAAAGTATTTCGAACCAATTCAAAGCCAAAAATTTCAGATTGCTCAGAGGGAACCGATTCCCCCTCATAGGAGGAACTGATTCCCCCCTAAATGGTTTTGGCCCCGAGATTTCCAGAATGCTCGGAGGGAACCGATTCCCCCATAGGAGGAACCGATTCCCCCCTAAACAGTTTTGCTCCGAGAATTCCAGTATGCTCGGAGGGAACCGATCCCCCCCAAGGGGGTACCGATTCCCCCCTTGTACAACGGTCGAAATATTTGAATTTTACACTTAGGAACCGATTCCCTTCAAGAGGGAACCGATTCCCCCCACGCTCCAAGCTGTTTTATTAAATGTTTTCACACTAAAACGGCTATAATATCTTCTCTAATCATCCCCAACGTTCAGAAGTGATTCAAGGTGTATTTAAGCAAGCTTAGAAGCCATTGATCAAAAACAAGAAACATCAAGCAACTAGAATCAAGAGAGAATCAAAGAGAAAGCATCAAACCTCAAGTTTGAGCATTTCAAGCCTATTTTCATTCAATATTCATTTTGCTTTCAAGAACACTTATTGTACTCAATTGTATTTATTCTTGAGTGTTCTTTCTTTGTTCTAGAATTGTGCAAACATCTTACCTTGTGAGGTTTTCTTGTAAGTTTGCAAATTTGTAATCTTCTCTTTGAGAAAAGAGTGTTATCAATAATTGGGGTATATTCTTGAGGGAGTTGTAAGGTTATCTCTTTGGCCTCAAAAGAAAGAACAAATTAGTGAATTTGTTGGAAAATCCTTAGTGTGGATAGCTAAGGTAGTGGACGTAGACTTTGATTGAGAAAGTCGAACCACTCTAAATCGTTGTGCAAATCTTTTCAATTTTCTGCAAAAGCTTCCACTGAAATTTTTAATTGCCAATTCACCCCCTCTTGGCCGATTTCGTCAATCGATTAACTCAACAATTGGCATCAGAGCTTGACTCATTTGAAGGTTTAACCATCTCTTGAGTAGATCCGGGAAGAGTTATATCGATTATCAAAGTCATCAATGGCCTCCGCTTCAAACTTCGACTCCGGTCTCGATTCGATGCCCGTCAACAAGCCTCCTTTCTTCAATGGGGCTATCTATGCCTATTGGAAGAATAGAATGATGTACTTCATTCAAGCAAGTGACATGGGAGCATGGAATATAGTAGTAGAAGGATACATCAAGCCTATCACTCATCCAAGATTGTGGAGTGAAGGAGAGACAAAAATGTTCCAGCTCAACTCCAAAGCCATCCATATTATTTTTTGTGCTCTTGGACCAGATGAATACGGAAGAGTTTCATCGTGTACAACCGCCAAAGAAATATGGGACAAGATTCAAGTCACACATGAAGGTACCGATGAGGTAAAGAAATCAAAAATTAGTATTCTAACACATAGCTATAAAAATTTCAGGATGAAACCAAATGAAGACATCAAAGCTATGACGGATAGATTTTCAACGATTGTCAATGGTCTCAAATCATATAGAGAGATCATCTCAAATGAAAAGCTTGTGAGGAAGTTAGTCTACTCCCTCCCAAAATCATGGCAATCAAAGAAGACGGCAATCATCGAGTCTAAGGACCTATCGTCCTTAACTCTTGAAGAACTTATCGGTTCACTCCTCACTCATGAGATGATGCTTGAAGATGAGGTGGACCTTGATAAAGTTGAAGAGACACCAAAGGAGAAGGAGAAAAAGAAAAACATTGGAGTTGCTCTCAAATCCACAAAAGATGATAGTGATTCTAATGATGATGATGATGACGAGGAAATGGCATTGTTTGCCAAACGGTTCAGAAAAATGATGAGACCTTATCGAGGAAGAAAATTCAAACGAAATAAAGGCCTCAAAGATGAACCAAAAGAGAAGGACCCGATCATTTGCTATGAATGCAAAAAGCCAGGGCATGTCAAATATGATTGCCCACAATTGAAGAAGAAGGGTCAATCAAAGAATAAGCACAAGGCTCATGTGGCTACATGGAGCGATGAAGAAGGTTCCGATGAAGAAGAACAAGAAGTAGCAAACTTGTGCTTAATGACATTCGGGGAAGATTCTAAGGTAACCTCTAACTCATCTGATTTTGATGATTTATCTTATGATGAGCTATTAGAGGAATATAATGGGTTGGCTTCGGATTGTGAGAAATTATTTTTAAAATATAAAAATGATGTTTCAAAGTTGAAAAATGAAAATAAACTCATATCCAAAACCAACAATGATCTTGAAAGTAAAATCAAAGATTTGCAAATCAAACTAGAAGAGTTTGAAAAGAAAAATTTAGATTTGCAAAATTTACTTTCAAAGGTCAATGATGATCATCAAAAGAAAATTGATGATCTTAAAACTTCTTTTGATAAAGTTGGAACAAAACATTTTGAAAAAGGAGAAAATTCAAAATCCAACTTTGTTAGAAAAGATTTTAGAAACTACAATCATAGAAATCCTCAACGAACCTTAAATGGTAAAATCTTTAGAAGTATATGGGTTCCTAAAGGACTCATTACTACTAAAGATAAAGATATCCTACACAAATGGATACCTAAGGGGACTAGGATTTTGGAAACTAATGAATATGGACCCAAAAGAATTTGGGTACCAAAAATCAAAAATTAATCTATGTTTGTAGGGAAAGGAGCATTGCTACAAGGCACGGGAAACAAATTCAAATTCATGGTACCTTGATAGTGGATGCTCAAGACACATGACCGGAGACAAAAGCCGGTTCATAGAGCTTAACGTAAAAAATGGAGAAGAAGTGACTTTTGGTGATAATTCAAAAGGTCACATTGAAGGTATTGGTACAATAGGTAATACCTCTTCCATACAAATTAAAAATGTTTTATATGTGAATGGATTAAAGCATAATCTATTGAGTATTAGTCAATTATGCGATAAGGGATTCAATGTCTTGTTTGAAATTAATGGTTGTAAAGTTATTGACATTGCATCTAATCGGATTATGCTTGTTGGTCATAGAATAGGAAACATTTACATGGTGCATTTAGATTATATTGATATGACTAATTTGTGCCTAGTTGCTAAGGATGAACATGATAGTTGGTTATGGCATAGGAGACTAGGACATGCTAGTATGAGTGTTTTGCAACGGCTAATTCAAGGTGATTTAGTTCGAGGGTTGCCTAAGCTTAAATTTGATAATGATAAAATCTGTGATGCTTGTGCTAAAGGAAAACAAAAGCGCGTTTCTTTTAAATCCATTAATGACGTATCAACTAGTAGAGTATTACAATTGATCCATGTAGATCTTTTTGGGCCAACTAGGACTACTAGCTTGGGTGGAAAACAATATGCATTTGTCTTGGTAGATGACTATTCTAGATATACTTGGGTTCTATTTTTAAGTACTAAAGATGAAGCATCAGAACAGTTCATCACATTTTCAAAAATAATCCAAAATGAAAAAGGTTACTCTATAACTAGTGTTAGGAGTGATCATGGCACTGAATTTGAAAATCTTGGATTTATTGATTTTTGTAATTCTAATGGTATTAGCCACAATTTTTCAGCACCTAGAACCCCTCAACAAAATGGAGTTGTTGAGAGGAAAAATCGAACTTTAGAAGAAATGGCTAGAACCATGCTTTGTGAAAATAATTTGCCAAAATATTTTTGGGCGGAAGCCACAAATACCGCTTGTTATGTTATAAATCGAGTAATGATTAGGCCAATTTTAAAGAAAACTCCATATGAAATTCTCAAAAATAAAAAGCCTAACATTAGCTATTTTCATCCTTTTGGATGTAAATGTTTTGTTTTAAACAATGGTAAAGAAAACCTTGGCAAATTTGATGCTAAAAGTGATGAAGGAATTTTTCTGGGTTATTCCTTGAATTCTAAAGCTTATCGAGTATTTAATAAAAGAACTTTAGTTGTAGAAGAGTCTATACATGTTGTTTTCGATGATAATCCCCTTCCGAGGAAGGATTCTTGTGTGAATGATGATGTAGGTGTTATAAATTCAAATGACGTTAGACATAAAGTTGGAGAACCATCATCAAAGGAAGAAACAAAAAATGAGGAAACTCATGATCCTCTTGAGAATCCAACCATTGAAGAAAGGGAAGTATCTTATCCAAGAGAGTACAACTATGTCAAGGGTGGTGAGATTATAGGTGATCCATCCAAAGGGGTAACAACTCGATCTTCTCTTAGAAATATTTGTGATTATGTTGCATTTATTTCATGCATAGAGCCTAAGAATATTAAAGAAGCATTAAATGATGAACATTGGATTATGGATATGCAAGAAGAATTAAATCAATTTGAGAGAAGTAAAGTATGGACATTAGTTGAAAGGCCTTGTAATAAATCTACTGTATGTACTAGATGGGTGTTTAGGAATAAGCTTGATGAAAGTGGTAATATAGTGAGAAACAAGGCTAGACTTGTTGCTCAAGGGTATACTCAAGAAGAGGGCATAGACTACGATGAAACATACGCTCCCGTAGCTAGGATGGAAGCAATTAGAATGTTATTAGCATTTGCATGTTTTCATGAATTTAAATTATATCAAATGGATGTTAAAAGTGCATTTTTAAATGGTTTTATAAAAGAATAAGTGTATGTGGAACAACCTCCAGGTTTTGAAGATTCAATTTTTCCGGATTATGTTTTTAAATTGACAAAAGCTCTTTATGGTTTAAAACAAGCTCCTAGAGCTTGGTATGAAAGATTGTCAAACTTTTTAATTGAAAAAGGGTTTTCAAAAGGAAAGGTTGACACTGTATTATTTTTAAAGCATAAAGGTAAAGATTTATTAGTAGTACAAATTTATGTTGATGATATAATATTTGGTTCTACTAATGATATTCTTTGCCAAGAATTTTCTAAGCTGATGCAAAGTGAGTTTGAGATGAGCATGATGGGGGAGCTCTCATTTTTCTTGGGACTCCAAATCAAGCAAAGAAAAGATGGCATCTTCATCAATCAAGCTAAGTACGTCAAAGATATGCTCAAGAAGTTTGGACTGGAAAATGGGAAACCTCATAACACTCCAATGAGCTCTTCAACAAAGCTTGACTTAGATGAAGGAGGTAAATGTGTAGATGTTAAATTATATAGATCCATGATTGGCTCATTGCTTTATCTAACCACAAGTAGACCGGATATTATGTTTAGTGTTTGCTTGTGTGCTAGGTTTCAATCATGTCCCAAAGAATCACATTTACTACCCGTTAAGAGAATCTTTAGATACCTTAAGGACACTCCTAGTTTAGGACTTTGGTATCCTAGAGACTCTAGTTTTAGCTTGCATGCTTTTTCTGATGCGGATTATGGAGGATGCAAATTAGATAGGAAAAGCACCTCCGGTACTTGCCAATTCCTTGGAAATATATGCTGATTTCTTGGTTTTCAAATAAACAAAATTGTGTTGCATTATCTACCACTGAAGTGGAATACATTTCAGCCGGTAGTTGTTGTGCACAAGTTTTATGGATGAAACAACAACTTTTTGATTATGGAATTGAAGTAGGTACCATTCCTATCAAGTGTGACAATACTAGTGCTATTTGTCTCACTAAAAATCCCATCCAACACTCTAGAACTAAGCACATTGAAATAAGACATCACTTCATTAGAGACCATGTCACTAAGGAAGATGTAGTTCTAGAATTTGTTGATACTTTTCACCAATTAGCGGATATATTTACAAAACCCTTAGACAAGGAAAGATTTTGGACACTTAGGAGAGAATTAGGTTTGACCAACCTATCTTCACTTAGTGTTTAAAATTATTTAGCACTTTTAATAAATACTGAAAAATACTTACTATAATATTTTTTGATTGCATTCTTGCTATTAGTTAGGGGGAGTTTATGATTCTTGATGAAAAATTAATTTTATGTTCAAAAATCGATTAAAGATTAATTTAATTGTTTGAACATAATTATTTTTCAATATATGAGTTGCCAATACCACTAGAAAAGATTAATTTAGCATTTTGTGCTTAAAAATTGGATTTTAGCATTTTTGTGCAGAGGGAATCGATCCCCCCTGAGGGAACCGATCCCCCTTTGAAGGGGAACCGATTCCCCCCACAGGGGAATCGATACCCCCCTGGGGTTCTGTTAAAATCGGGCAAGAACACCCAAAACCTATTCCGCCATTTCTCTCCCTCAAACACTCAAATCTCCATTCTTGCCTCAAATCATTGATTTCAATCTGAAATCACTTCAAATATCATCTCCTAAACTTGCAATCATCATTAAAATCGTGCAAACAACATCTAAATCCCCTCAATCTTCATCTTTCAAGGTAATTTTTCTAAACTCTTTATTTCATTGTTTTTTAACATAGGATTAGTTTTAATTAGTTC